TGGTTGGAAGAAGAGCCTTACATGTTTGCCATGAACGAATGATAGCACTTTCATCTGATGGAGCCTCTGTAATGGAGGGAAAACACGGCGGTGTTCACGCAAAGCTGAAAGACCTCATAAGACGTGAAACCAGGAACAGCGTGAAGAAGAATTCCTCCTTTCAGTCTGTGCTGCGCACAAGCTAAATTTAGCAGTGCAAGCGCAAAGGGGGCTTGCTTTCAACCTCACGCGTACGCTCATTACGGAAATGCATCACTTATTAGGATCTACGGTGGCTACGCGAGCACATGCCATTTACTCCCGAACAGCTGAAGGGATGGGATTTCGCGCTCTGAGGATGGACCCAATTCACGCAGTGCGATGGTCAGCAAGCCTGCAGAATTCCCTTTCAAAAATACTCCGTATGTATCCTGTCCTCATAGCAGCTTTGGGAAAATTGACAGCTGACGGCAGCGTACCGAAAGCCATGCGAGATCGAGCCCAAGGAGCTGCCTATGTAATGACAGATAGCCACACTTTCATAATTCTGCATCATGTCAATGCAACTCTCTCTTATCTTGCCCGACTTTCGGAGGCCCTCCAACAAGAGGAAGCTCTGTTGGTTGATTTCCTCTCAGTGTGGAGGCACATTGACTCTCTACTCAAACACGATACAATTAAGAATGAGGTATACGAAAACCTAGCTGCAAGTGGAATTCTTACTCTACATGACTCTGAGAGCGACGAATATCATGAAGTGGATTCGAAGTCGTTGAAAAGCTACCACTGCTTCACCGAAGAACATAACCAGCCTTCAAGAGGATTGCTTTTCTATGACCCCACTACCTTTCCCGATTACCAATCATCGAGAGTAGGGCATTTGACAGCAGACCAAAGGCGAGAATCAGCACCACTTAGAAGAATACAAAAGTTTCGACCTTTCGAAGATCTTCAAAGTTTGAGTTCCCATTTTCTTGGCGGAGATGATGTTAGAGAGGATGAATTTGATGTCTCCATGCTTCACTCAATCGCGCTCGGTAAGACGTACTTCAAGATCGTAAATGCAAGACAATCAGAGGACACCATTAACACTTTATATGAGCATGTGCGTCAAAGTCTTCGAAATTACATGGCGCCGGAGAAACGACCTACAGAAGCAGTTGCATCCTTCCCTTATGCCTTAGATAGGCATACTATCCTTGACATGATAGATTGCAATGGTGACTATGACTCTTTCAAAGACTGCGTTCTTCCGGGCACCTCTGCGGCTAATCGAGGGTATCCTGTCTTCATTGACAGTGAAGGGAATGTGGACAAAATCAAACGTCAAAAAGCTATATCAGACTCTATCGATGCCATTGCAAAGGTCTGCTCTTTACCACGCTTGAATAAGTTTTTCATGGACTTCTACAACACCATTGCCGGAGCAGTAAGGGCACTAAACACGTGGCCAACGGATTTTCGCGAAGACAAAACAAGCATTAGATTTTACCAGACGTTATTAAACCACGGAGATGCACTGAAAATTCCCGACCCTGTGAGAGAGGTAAGATGTTGTCCTTAGTTAGGTGAGAACTTCTTTAAGGCCACATTTTAAGGCTATCAAATGCATCCTTGTCATACCTGCCAGCAATGCTGACCCAGAGCGTAGCTTTTCGCAAGCCAACAGACTCACAAGGAGAGAACGGAGCAACCTAGGAGACGATACTCTGGATAGTCTCATGATGTCAGACTTTCTGGCTCTTTGACTGAGAAGTGTTCAAAGATTTCCTTTCAAGTTGCCGCTCAACTTTTTTTTCATACTCTTAGGATACAACGAGACGGACCTAGTGTGCTTACTATCAAGCCTGTGAAATTAGCCACTCAGTGGATCAAACCACTCCCAGGCCTTAACCTTCCATCCCATATGCCATCGACCCTTGCGAGATCGGATAGTTTCACGAAGAAAGTGATGGAGGCTATGGAAGCAGGTATTTACCTCTTTAGTATTCCCTATTGTCGTATAAACATCGCTTCCAATTCCATATGACGGACACGCGCTCGTTCAACACTATGTCAAACATTCTATGACACAACAAGGACTAAGCACTAGACGTGATGCGGAGATGATTCGGCGATCGAGAGAGGATCTTGAAACTTCGAGATCTACGATTTTTTCACTTGGTGCTCTTCATGAAAACGATAAATAATGAAGCATTCCCCATTTGATTTGTCACATTACTCACTGATCTGGGTTAGTTCCCTCGTGACATCATAACTTTGATTCTTTCAGATTATAGGTTGGCCGACCCTCATTCTGAATGTGCGTAGCGGTGTGTTAACATTGAAAAATTCAAAAACCATCGCTAGGCTATTATTACATTAATATAGTCAGGAACAGGGACATAAAATTGGGGTGGAGTATTTAACAACATGGAAAACTATTTTGATCCGGAGTTAGGCGGTTTGCGTTCTCCGACAACCGCAGATAGCTCGACTCCAGCAGGAAGTCCGGTTTGTGACGGGATCTTCAGCGACGATGATCAAGTAGTAAAGGTGTGTATCAATTCTGCTAAAAATTGAATTCTACCATAAAAAAGTCTTTTCAGACGGAGTGCTCGTTCTGTGTGGAAGAACGGGCATGGACGCAGAGTACGCGGCAATTGAGAGAGGCGAACCAAGAAATTTGTTTGGTGAACGCTGACGAGCACGCGTCGTTGCGCGGACGATTTGAAGAAGAACTCAGAGAAAAATTCAAAGAAATGAAACACTGGCAAGCGGAACTTCAAAAAGCACTTAAAGTATGTTTCCTTCTATTCAAAAATAATATTCGGAAGTAATTTTTCCTTTTGTTTCAGGAGTGCTTTTGTTTGCGGGAGCAGATCTCCCGCTTGAGGATGGGGATTTATGGGGGGAGGTTACCCCAGTCCGAGGGAGTTAGGAAATCGTAATTTTTCCTTTTTTATCAGTTCTTTGATAAAGTTGTTCAGAAGGAAAAATGTATTGTGTTCCCTTCAGAAAGGTTCAATCCTTTCATACCTGTTCAGGTCAGCAAAGGCGTGGAGAAAGTAATTGATTTTTTCACAATAATCCGTTTCAGCAGAATAATTTTCTATTATGGATTTCAATAGTTTTCGAAGAGAGATGTTGCGTCGACTGGCGGTATGTTTTACCTTTTCTTCCATGCCAACAGTAAGAAGAGTACATGTTTCAGCCTGATCGATGTGAAGGGTGCAAGGATGCCGCACTTGAGTTGCAGAAAGAACTCTCCGACTACCGTCGAGTGATTGAATGGAAGAAAGAATTGGATTATTTTAATGACCAGGAAGTTGAGAGGCAGAAAATCCTTATGGAGATTATGAACAGCATTATAGAAAACTGTAAGATGAAGTATGAATTGGTAACGAAGGTGTGCGCTAACTTTATTTTTTCATTAGTAATCATGTATGTATTTACTTTTTTGTTTTTCAGACAAACTTCGATCTGCGAGTCTCTTTGTGGCACATGAGATGCTTTCTTGAAGAATCAACATACATACCAAGTGACATGCGCGCCGTCAGGCCCCAGGGGCCAAGGGAAGAGGCTCCACCTTAATAACGAGAAGCGGCAAAAAAAGGAAGAAAAGAGAAAATAAACTTTTCCACCGATGTACTGTTTACAGTGTGTGATACATTTGCAGGCTTTTCAACTTTTTAATCATCTCTCATTCTCCTATATGTAACGCTTATTACACGATGTAATATGCCAACAAAAATTAAGGTATCATAACAAACTATAACGTAAAACGAGATAGTTGAATTCCTTTCGAAGGCCCTCACAATGTGACTTGCTCAATTTTCGGCACCGACGCCACGCTTTGTTCATGGGAAAGCTAGGTCTGAACAGAAGTTTGCTGAAGACGGAAAAATTTCTTCACGATGTAGTAATTCACGCCGAGAAACCAGCACGAAAACCTAAAAAAAATTGTCATTGAGTTATTGACTGATCCAAGTTTTTTGTGAGCGTTCCCTCCCACCACTCCATCCACCGACCAATGATGCTACCGGCGAGATTTTTGTTGCGGGTCCTCGAAAATGCGACCCCCTCCTGACCAAAATGCGACCCCCTCGTTCGAACAGTTCGAACGGACGGTTGACCCTGCTCGCAACCCCGAAGCCAGCCTAGAGGGCTATTCCGCGCTGACTTTAGCAATGCTTGTCTTCATACATTGAAGTGGTTCCCAAACCAGGCCACCTAGCGAATCCAACAAAACGAGAGCGATATTCTCAGAAAACGGAGTTCGGGCTTTGGTTGAGCTGGTGCTTCCTGGCTGCGAAGGCAG